AATCCACCATATAATGTCAAAAGCGCAACAGTTGTCGTCACCGAGTTTTGGATTTGGCCTCCAACAACATTGCTGCTGCTCGGTTAAGTGCCACCAAGGACAGTTTTCTTTTAATTTTCTTTTAATGTTTTCCAAAGGACTTGTGTTTTTTGTTCAGAAATTCACATGTATTAGCCATAATGTTATTTTGTTTACCCTTGTTAAATATCAAAATTATAATTAATGTGGACTAGAGTGTAGACAAGGAGCGTCGAATTCTAGTAGTATACTATTCAACATCAATTTAAACTAAAATGTGTGAGTTCAGACTCATCGTGCTCTTAAAATTAACTTGAGCTTGAATTATGTCCCATGGGTATTTTGACTCGCTCGAACTCAATTTTAAACTTAAACAAGCCTAACTTAGTCAAGCTTAATTCAGCATTTTATATTTTTCAAAACAAGATAAAATGAATGTTTTACTTAATAAACATATAAAATTTATGAAAATATCTAAAATGTAGAATATATGAAATTCACACACACACACACACATATATATATATATAAGATTTGATTACATTCCGCAAGCTTTCAAACCTCATAAATATATGTTGAACTCAATTTTCAAATGTATTCGAGCTGCTTGAGTTTTGACTATAGAAGCTCGCTAGTAGCTTGTTTCAACTCGATTCCTTTCCACCCGACCCTAATATGGATATACCCTAGCCCTGGGGGTATATAAGAATTTCTCATTATTCATTCTATCTCTATGATATCTATATATTTCGATAATATATGTTGCGCTAGGCAATTTGTTTTTGTAAATCGTGAAGTGTTGGTGAAGGTGATTAAAAGATGTTGGCGGGCTTTTGCACATGGCTGGTTTTATCTAGTACACACTCTCGGATAGCTGTTGCAGGTTTTTTTTTCAACAAAAAAATGTAGGTATCTTCTATGTTGGGTTTAGATCACCTGATATTTCATATAGTGTAAGTTAGACATCTTAGACGATTAATTTCGCGTATCTGAATTAATCATTACCTATTTCCAATAAGCAATATACATTTTTGTACGTTAAAACGACAATAGAAGATGTGCAACTCTTCATCGTCAAGCACAATAAGGTGAAAATGCAAGTTTTGCCGTTTATTAACTTCCCTTATAATTAAATATAATGCGGACAGAAATGACGGAAAAGCTTCAAAAGTGGATTCATGAAGAAAATTACAAAGAAAGGAAAAGACTATAAAAAAGAGTATTTGATGGAAGCTAGATCAAGGCCATGGATTCCAAAAAACAAAGAAATATATATAATTCTCTTTTCTTGTATAAAATTTCAGCAAGTGCGAGTGTCTCAATTTGTAATGGAAAAGAAATATATTCAGACATCTGCATTGATAAGTTTTCTATTTTGGTTGACATAATATGTAGAATGTTAACAATTTTATTTTCATTGACATAATATTTACAATGTAAAAATTTTCTTTTATTGCCGTAAAGGAAATACTAAATGAGCATTTGTAATCCTGGTTGTATCTATCAACTAGTTTCTTTCCCATGCATTAACACGGGTCATTTTACATTTAGTAGCACAATTAAATATTGCAGCATAAATTTTGAAAATCCAAATATTTATTTAAATATATAAACTAATTTTTTGATTAACTATTCAAATATAGTTTGAGAATAGAAAAAAAGATATGCTTTATGTAAAACTTAAAATGAGCCAAATTTTGAAAAGGACATGTAATATACTAGACAGAATGAGAGTTGGGTAGAGCAATAAACAAAACATTATAAATATTCAATATAAAGTTAAGGTAATTAACCAAATTAATGGTGAGCAAATTGTAACAAAATATAATGTAAAATTAATTTAAAAACCAATGTAGTCGGTTAAACCTGTGCAAATTTTAGGACAATATTTTTGGTAAGAAGGGAAGAAGTATCATGACGTGTTTAATAATATTTCATTATAATCCCACGAAAGGAAAATAAAAGTAAAGATTAAAAGGAAAAAAGAGAAAAGGTTGTATATTATTTTTCACAAATTGAAAAAGTAAAATGCAAAAATAAAATTATTACCATCATTATATAACTATGGAAGTTTATGAATCTCTCATGCTTGAACATCCAAACGATGTGACTCTGTATTCCTTGGTTTCCATGGGAGTGAATAAGGGGCTTGTCATGGATACGGGTGAAAAAATATTGACATGTGTAAGGCCTGGTGCAACCCAATGAGTACAAACAAATTCACAATGATGCACAAAGATATATCAAATTTAAGCACAATAAAGAAAACTTAATTAAAGAGAAAAGATAAGAAATGCAAACCAAATATCAATCCAATAGCCTCTTCAATAGATGGCGATGCTAACCAAGATGTACAAGTGAAGGCTCACTCCTTCCTCACCCCAAACACACTTTGGTTGAGCCAAGGAGTTTTACAACTATTCTAGTTAACCCTCAACAACCTACACTTGAAAGATCACTCGCCCAATTAAGAACTATTTTATACAAATGAGGCAACCTTCACCAAGGTTTTACCACTTCAAGTGATAGGTTCACCTTCACCAAGGTTTTACTACTTCTAGAGAGTAACCTTCACTTGAGCAACCTCACAACCCAACTTTCCCAACCCCTTATACAACCAACAAAGAATCTTTCTACTCAAAAATCTCACTTGTAAGCTTGTATTTTGTGTTGGCAAAAGTCCCTTGTCTTCTTGTGCTTTGGAGTTTTTATAGAAGGTGAGAAATGGCTCCAAAAGACTCTCCAACGGTCAAATATTAAATGCTGTCAAAACTAGCCGTTGGCCTGTCGGACGTCCGAACCACCTGTCGAGCGTCCGAACCCTGCGACCAAACCACCTGTCGGACGTCCGAACCCTGCGTCCGAACGTAGTCAGAGAGTCATCAAATCTTTGCGAAATTTCTCGGACGTCCGATGCGATTGATGTGCGTCCGATGCGTGCATCCATTGATGTTCTTCATCCTTTCGGACGTCCGATAGCTTCCTTTCGGACGTCCCACATGAGTGCCCTGTTTTTGCTTCTTCTTTTGTGCCACAAGAATCTGTTCTAACAAATTGCTCACATAAAAACATTAGCCCAAATCTACATTTTGGTTTGTTAATCATCAAAACCAAGGATTGATCGACCAAGGTCAACAACATGGTTTAATTGTGCTTTGTCATTTATGTTAAGCTGATTGATATATGCCAATAGGAAGTTCATAATAGAAGGGGCTTGATTGTGAACATAAGTAAACATATATAATTTTCCTACTTTATATGAGTACCAAAATTAAGGATAACAAAGTGGTAATTGATTGTCATTAACAAGTGGTCATATTCTAAAATATGACCCAAATTAAACACAATAAGAACGCAACTTAAGGATAATAAAGTGATTGATTGATTGTTATTAATAAAACTACTGCACCTAAAATGTGAATTTATAATTAGTTGTTGTTAACAAAAATAAAACAATTTAAACCTAACCAAAAAAATTAAGACAATATGTACACAGAGCAAGAACATAGGACATCCAGTTGTCCGCTTGGTAGAACGTAAGAATTATTAACTCAGCAACCCATTATATAGGAATTGAACATGAGTGTTTGGATAACAAAAATATCTCCAATAATATTTCGCTTGTATCATAAACACATTTTCCAACCCACCTTTTTATACTCTCAATCACCTTTTTATCTCACATACATCACATAAAAAAAGTGTTACAGTAATTATTCCAAATAATATAATATTTCAAATAATACTCTATACAATGTTTTATATATATATATATATATATGTCTCTATGTGTGTGTGTGTGTTTTATATATAGATTAATCTTTCCTACACTGATAGTGTATACACTGTCAGTATTTAATGAATGATAACTATGCAAAATGAATCAAACGATGATAGTGTATACAGGGGGGAGGGATGGGTTGGGTGGTACGGAGGGAGGGAATGTAAGCAAGAGGTCTCGGGTTCGAATCCTCCTGCTTACACAAAAAAAAAGTAAAAAAAAAACCAAAAATCATAGTGTAATCTAAATCTACTCATACCCTATAGAAAAAGATAGACCCAAAAGGATAAACCAATATTTATACTAGGAGACTGGTTTCGAGCATCTTCTGGATTAACATATATGTATATATATATATATATATCAATAGTCAATGCTGCTTAACATGCTGCAGTTTCTAAATTCATAAGGTCTGATAAAAGTAATGGAAAATTCAAAAGAGTGAAGAAAAATTTTTTCCTTTTGCAGTTGGAAAGAGTGGGTCCAATTGAGGTGGAAACGCTGCAAACTGCAAAGTGGTGTTTGGATCACGCGGCCAGTTTGTTAAACTGGTCACATGATCCACGAATCTAACAGCTTGGCCTTTTCAACGATGGTGACCACACCCTTCCTATGCTGACCTTCTCCCTTTCCCCTCTTTCCCCTTCTATCCCTCCTCTCTTCCTTTCTTTCTTTCTTGTTTTTCCTTTTTCTTCTTCTCTTCGCTTTTCTTGTTTGGCTGAATTTCTCGATAACTTGAGATATTAGAACAAGTAGAAGGAGATGACAGACCAACTAATTACCTATCATACAAGTTGGGATTGAAGATTATTCAATTTTTTTTTGAAATAATAATATAGCACTTTCTGGGATGCAATGTATCTTCTGGGATTAAAAATTATTTTTTTTTTTAAAAAAAAAAGGCAGAAGCTATCCAAAATTCCAAACAAAGCTATTTGTTAATTTGTAAAAATCTGTCTTATACTTAAGAGAAGGTTGTGACTATCATTGACTTATCACTGAAGTAAAGCTAATACAAATCCTTAATTAGCTTTCCTCCCTCAATTGCTCCTCATAACCACAGGCTAAGCATCCCCACCACTTTCTCAAAATAGTAAGACATCTATCTATCTTATTAAAGTTGGGGTTGACAAGGCTTCACCAATTTCCCACCTTTATAAAATACTATGCAAGTAGCAAGATAAATTAGAGCTATATCCCCTGAGAGATTCTTGCTTGTTTAGGTATGAATTGGTCCCTGCTATAATCTCAAGATTTGGCAGTAATTGCCCATTTGGGACAGAGACAAACACTGTGCTAAATTCTTAGATCACCTCAATTTTAGAAACCCAAGGGCACATCAGGCAAAATGACTAGAGGAGAACTTTTTTGCAGTGGCAGCTAAATAAGATACCCTAAAAACTTAGCATTACATAAACAAAGAAGAGAACCTTAGCCCCACCCCCACCCCCAACAAAAGCATCCACCTTTATCCCATTTTTGGCTACAAAATGCGCCCAAAGTAGAACCAATCAATCTTGTCCCCAAGTTTTATTTTTCTCCTGCTTGCTGTTGTTGCTTTTGCAGTCTGCACCACCCCTTCCTGCAACTGCAACCCCTTATTCATTCTTGAATCATCCTCAATTTCTCAGGTTCCCAAAAAAAGAAAAAAAAAGTAGATTAATTATCCATTTTATCAAGATTTGTCCAAAAAATGGATGGCAACAACCAAATCCCACAAGGGCTGAGCCCAGAAGAATTCTCTGAACTCGAGCCGCTAATTTCCACGTACCACACTTTTGAGCCAGCCCCAAATACATGCACATCCCTGATAACTCAGCGCATTGATGCACCAGCAAAAGTGGTGTGGCCATTCGTCAGGCGTTTTGACAATCCTCAGAAGTACAAACACTTCATCAAGGGCTGCAACATGACAGGGGATGGAAGTGTAGGCAGCATCAGAGAAGTCACGGTTGTTTCGGGGCTTCCAGCTTCTACCAGCACCGAGATACTCGAGATTCTGGATGAAGAAAAGCATATTCTGAGCTTCAGGGTGGTTGGGGGAGAGCACAGGCTAAACAACTATAAATCTGTGACATCAGTTAATGAATTCGATAATGAAGGTAAGGTTTACACCATTGTTCTGGAGTCTTATATTGTTGATATCCCAGAAGGCAACACTGCGGAGGATACAAAGATGTTTACTGATACAGTTGTGAAGTTGAATCTCCAAAAGCTTGGGGTCGTGGCAATGGCTTCTTTGCATGGACATGAATGAATTTGATCGGATAAAGGTGGCGATGGTTCTGATGGTGCGTTTCTGCAATACTCTAGCTCAAAAAAAGGGGAGGGGGGGTGGGGATTTATTACCCCATTAAAATGGTAGTACCATCTTCTCTCAAGGGTTTGTTGAAAGTTGAAATTGGTTTCTCGTTTTTCATTTCTTGTTTTAGGTGATCATCAAATATAATTAATTACTAGTTTTTGTTGGCTGAATGTGAAATCAGCCATAGTTTTTTGGGCTATCATTAAAGAAAGTTTCATTTCCTTCTAAAATAAATGATTGGTCGGCGGCATTGGCACATTAATTAGTTAGATTTTTCTTTGGATTTAATAAGTTCAATCAATTGTACTTATTGCTACTTTATACATTTGATCTGATTTGTGGACATCAAAGGCTGAAGGAGTCCTTGATTAATTTGGAGCCCTCAATCAAAAAACAAGAAAGTCAAAGCCGATAGCTTTCTCCTTAGTCATTAGTTGGCAATCCATTATATTTCACAACTTGCACTCAGCAGCTATATGCATGACTGACTCAGTTGATAGATGACCACAAAGAACAAAAGGGTTGAATTGAATAAAATATACTACAATTAGGTGTGAAGATTAATATATGAGGCTTGAAATAATGAAAGGTACGTGGGGTGTTTGATTTTGGGGGGTTGACATGTACTTGATGAGCAACTTGCAACTGTTATATATGCCTTTGTGGTGTGGCTTCAATGTTCTATCAAAATGGCCCAAGCCATAGAATAGATGGATATCTTGAGAACCTCGTGAGATAACATGTGACCCCCCCCCCCCCCCCCCCGGGGAGCTGCTTAGTGACAGATTAGGGACGTCAACCCTCAACTAATGGTGGTGAAGGTACCATACCATCTATAAAATTAAGCTTTTCTGTGGCTTTTCCATAGCTGTCGATATGAAAATTGTGTTGGTGAGCGATCTGTAATTCCGACGATATGTCCTAACCCGTGGCAGTGACGGGAGTCGAACCCATCCAAACTTTTTGGGACAAAAAGATAATAGAACATATATATACATTTCAAATGAATTATGTACGTCAATCATATATACAGGAGTAGCTTCCTAACTTGGAATAAAATTCAATGAGGCTGGTTCATGACCAGCACAGACACATAGAAAGGGAAGAAAAAAAAAACCAATTACAAATTTATGCTCCTTAACTATACATGCAAATTAATTTGACAGAGGGAATTAGAAAAAGTAGTTGTAAGACGGGGACAAAATTTTCTAGTTTGCAACCTTGAACAATGTACTCGTATTTCTTTTTATGTTTTGGAGCTGTATTTCAAGCAATGTACTGCAAGATGTTTCCAGGTATGTAACAAAACTCAAACCTCGTGCTATGCATTCTTCTCAACAAAAGAAAGAGAAAAAAATGCATAAAAAGAAAGGCTTGCTGCTATAAACATATATATACTTCGTGAATGGTGTAAACGTCTTCAATCCAATCTTAACACGAATATGCAGAGCCTATTTACAAATCCTCAAATGAAACTGGTCATTTTTTACAAGGAAAAAAAAAAAAGGAAAGAAACTGGTCGTATTTCAGTAGAAAGTGAAATCAAAAAAGGGAAAAAGGGTACAATGAATATCATTTCATTTTTCTTTTCTAAAGGAATCAAGATGAGACAACGACATCAGTTGATGTCAAACTGGATGCATATTAACGTTAAAGAAATAGTAAAACTGCTGGTAGTTTCAAAACTTGGGAGGGTGGCATATTTAATTTCTTGGAGGAGAAGGTGGCCTCGCTCACGCTGTTGACAGAAAGACTGAACCTTAAATTCCGAGTCAATTCAATTCATCTACGCTTTTGTGAACTTATCCACAAGCTTGCAAATTGTACAGCTTGCAGTAGGTTGAGCTCAACTCTGGGCAATGCGCCAGATTCAGAATGCATGATTTTTAGGAGTCAACATCTAACACCACTTAATAATAAGTTAATGAGTTTTCCTAACGAAAGCTCATCGGATGCTCGTTAGTGCATCTAAATTCTGCTTAACTTATCATTTATGTGCACATATCAATAATTATTATCTTTTCTTGTATTTATACACTTTTTCTAATTAATCTTATCATTCTAAAAATTAAACACTTAAAGTATATTTTAACGAGTGTTTAGTGGGCACCCGTTAAACGAACCCTAAGTTAAAATGATGCTGCATTTTAATATTCGCATTACGACAGTTGATTAATGAATGATTATTTGTCAAGTTCAAAATACCATGCAAAAAGATCATACTATTTTGTAGACCTGGCAATTATGCTCAAAATTCAACAATCCACCCAACTCATCCACTAATTTGAGAGGTTGGGTTTTGGATCAATTTTGGATTGGGTAATAAAAATTTACATATATTTTGGACTGTTTGGGTATTTATGTTAGGCAACCATTATCCAACTTAAGTTAAAAAAATAAATTAACAAATGAAAATCAAGAAACAAGAAATAATAATGAAAGTAAACACGTGTTTTATTCAATTTAGGAGCTATATGATCGGGGAGCCAGAAAATTTGGATTTCTGAGCTTACGCCCCTTGGGTTGCTTGCCAGCCCCTCGAGTTCTCGATCCTAAAGGCCACCATGCTGGCTGTTTTGAACAAGCTAGTGCTCTAGCATTTGCACATAACAATGCTCTACAGGCTGTCCTCCCCAATCTTGAACTCCTGCTCAAGGGTTTCAAATACTGCAACTCCAATTTCTATGATTGGCTCCTTGATAGGATTAATGATCCCACAAAGTATGGTAAGTTAACAATCCACAAGTGTATTTCAGTGTGTTTGTATGTGTAAAAATAAAGTATTTCAAAAGAGCTTAAGAAGTGAGTGTGTGTTTGTATCTGTGAGTGTTTTAGTGTGTGAAAATATGTCTATCTATATGAAAAATGTGTTTATTTGTGTGAAAATTTTTTTATTGCATGTGAAAAATGTATTTGAAAGAGTTTATGTATCAAAATCTATTAATTAATATATTTGGTCATATTTGGGTCATGGGTTTGAGTTAACCCAATATGACCCAATCCAAAATTAACCCAATCTAAAGTTGACGGGTTGGGGTAACCCATTTAAATGAAAATCCAATATTAACCCGCCCAATTGCCAGATATACTATTTCGACACAGTTTCAATATATAATTTACTTGTTTAAATTTGTTTTTAACAAGTCTTGCGAGAAGAAAGGGAAAGGAAAAGGTATGAGAGTTGGACCAAATAATTCACAGTTGATATTTAATTATTGTCCCTATCAATTAAATTGGATCTCAAGACCACATTTAATTCTTGTCCAAAAGGAAATCGCAACTAATACACAATATGTATACTCCGGTCATTATTTTGTCAAGATTCAACAAATGTAAAAGTTTATAGAGTCCTCAAAATTATCCAAATTCACGCCTATTGTAGGATGTCATGCATATGTGTGTTTTTATGTGCATGAATTTTGCAAATGTTGTTTTTTACTTGACGTGAAAACTTCATAGCACCAAGGCTAATTTGTTTTAAATGTCCACTTTATTGGCAAAAACAAAATATAAGAAGCAATAATCTCCAAGTATTTCAGTCCATAGCCCCAATAAAAAAAAGCTTTTGAATCTGATTCAAATCCAAATCAAGAGAAAACTAAAAAAGAAGAAAGAGCAAGTGCAGGCTATTGGTACTGTCCAGCAACACTAACCTAAGCCCAATAGTTGCCAGATCTAAACTGGGATCCAATATTTAGGCCGCTTTCAGTGACGGGTCTCCACAAAAAGCTTGATCCACGATCTTTTGAAGAGTAACTTCAAGCTACTCCAAATCTCCAAGAGACTCCAGGCCCAAGTCCATTGATCTAATTATTAGCGAGGGTTCATAGTTAGGCATGTTAATGGGAGAGTCTTCCTCAAATCCAACCCAAACTCAATATACTTGGGTAGGTTTGGATTTAATTTGTCAAACTCACACCTTTACCAGATCCATAATCTATAAGAGACTCGTGATTTTGGATAGATTATTTATTTGAATTCATAGTCTTGAATGTTAATTTTATTATTTAAAAATAAAACTGGATGGTATTTATATTATTTTTAAACTCTATACATTTACAAAATTTCACTTTAGTTTTTTTACCTTTTGTACAGACAAATATTCACGAATATTCATTGGATATCCAAATCTATTCGATAGGTTGGGTCTAGGTTTACTTTTTCAGATACATAAGAGTTGGAGTCTGAATCTAAGTCTCATTAAATTTAGAATCTAAAAAATTTAACCCAAACTCTACTCATTTAGATGCAGTTAATGAAAATGATCAAAAGGTAGGAATAAGAGTATGACTCAGGAGTCAGAAAGGACAAGTGATTAGCATGCTATCAATAAAAAAAAAAAAGCATATTAGCTCAAAATTCAATGGGTCTGTTTTATGATTCAAGATTTTAATGCAAACGTGCATAAAATCATAGAAAAACATCGCATGTAACGGAAAACAAAAGAATGAGAAACCTTATAGTGATACTTTGCTTGAGGCTTTTAATTCTTTCTAAGAAAAATAACAAATGGCATACTATCATTTACGTGATTTAAAAGCATGACCTTGTAGGACTTGCACATTGGCTCCACAACTTATTAGCACATCGTTTAGACGTGACATTTTAGGGGAAAATATTAAAGAAAAAAGGGGTAAAAGAAATACGATTTCAACCAAACTGTTGCATTCTTGTAACATACTGGGTAACAAGATGGATCATTCAAAATATAAGAGACTACTCCGTTTGGATTGACTATTTTTTCAAAAAATAAGTTTTTCAAATATAATGTTATAGTAATATACAATAACTCAAAAAACATCCCATCCATGTTAGTATATCAAATATTTTTTGTAGTAAAAATTTTTCATATACACTGTTACAAAAAAATATTTCAAAAATACCCCAAAAAACAGTTAATCCAAACGGAACCAATATATTACAAGTTTTACCGGTACATTTATGCAAAATTCCCCACAAAAATTGAATATGAAGTCATTTATGGCCCCTTAGGCTATCGTTGAGATATTGAATAGATTCCTTTTGCTCTATCGAAAAGGATGCCACTATAAATTTTGCTAATTTTTTTTGCCTTTCTTTAATATGACACACTTCCTCACGTTAAAATAGAGTGCGTCACAAGTATACCTAACTAGCCGAATGGCTCCAAAGATTGATCTTGATGAAAATGGAACATGAGCTTCACGAAACAACTGTTTTTAAATACTGTTTCGGTTGTATTATAAATATAATTTTTTAATCATTTTTTTTATCTCACAAATAATTGTTTTAAATAATCTTCGATCAAAACAAACTGTTAAATCAATAATTCTTCCCCTGATAACCAACTAGAAACAACAATACACTCGCTTCTTGAGGAATTTGGGGTAGGAACAATCAATCGAGAAAATGTGATGATCGATTTTGTGTATTTTATACAAAATATAACTCAATTTATACATGATGTAACTTATTTTGTATAATGTATAACTATAAAATAAAATTTTATGAACTTCACATATAGTATGAAAAATAATGTACAAGATGAAAAAAATTATATATATATATATATTTGCCAAATTTTAACTACCAACCCTTGAAATAGTTGCTTACTGCAATCATTTCTGCCCCACATCCCCTCTTGAGAGTGGTTTGGCAGATTTTAGACTCTATGGACCTTTTATGACTCGACACAAATAGCCAAAACTTCCAGGGGCAAAGGCATAACCTTTGAAACTTCAAAGGATATATGTGAAATCTTGTCAGTGATCAAGTGGATTGTTATATCACTCCCATGCCCTTTCCTTTTTGAAGTATGAATGCAAAGCCAAAGTATGACTCTCTCTCTCTCTCTCTCTCTCTATCTCTCCCTGTCTCAGTCAGGCCCAGCCGTACAAAATCAAAGCAGTGGATAGGCATCGTAATTGCACCAATAAATTCGTCAAAGATCTCCATATCAGATCTTCTTCCCCAAAACCCTCCAATTTTGCTTGCATCATCCTTTCTTTCTATATATGGTCTTTCATTGACCAGTCGATAAAATATATTTTAAATATTAAATTTTTTAATTTCATTTGAATTGCTATTTTTACTGAAATTTTTTTTAAAAAATATATTTTAATAATTTGATGTATATGAGATAAAAAAAATAATTTAAAAAAGTATAGACGACATTTAGGTATATTGAACGAGTATACATTGAGCAATAGTTAAAAATGCTTTCTTTCTTTTTGTTTTCTTTTCTTTTTAAACACTCCAAAAAACTAAAAAGTAGTACTAGGACAAAATTACACTGCCGGTGGAATAGTCCTAAAAGTACCACTGCCCTTTTCCTCCCTCACATCAACTTGCTTTTATTTCTTAGTTGTTAAATTCAGGTAACGAAAGCATGTTTCTTTCTTACCCTTTACTCTCTTGTTTCTCATCGCATTGGGTGGCACTTGTACTCTTCGCGTCCCATTTATATCTAAAAAAGTAAAGTAAAGACTCCATTTTTCCCCCTTATTTTTCTCTTTCTCAAAAATGGTGAGATAATAATAAGACTAGGACCTGCCACGCACAGGAGTTTGAACAGGAGGGAATCCAGATATTTAGATTATGATGATGGCATTGGCAGTGGCAGGGAAGGGTGGCAGATGATGAGTGGTAAGGAGGAGGACAAAGGAGATCAGATTCATGAGGAGCCCTCTTCACAAACAACAACAGATGAGAGAGAAGTACTAATGCTAATGCATGGGCCCTTCCATAAAAAGGCTGCAAAACAAATGAGTGGAACAGCAGCACCAGAGTGTAGTAGCAGCAGTAGCAATAGCAATTAAATCTTTTTCCTGATGACTTTTTCTTCTTTCTTGTGTTGTGTGGCTGTTTTTTTTCTCTATCTTTTTTAATAATGGGGTCAGGTTCATTCATTATTTCTCCATTTCCATACATGATCCCTGCAGAAGCTCCTATTATTTTCGCCTTTTTAACTCGCTCCCTTTAATGATAACCTGGCTTGTGAGTGATGATGATCAACACTTTTGTCATTGTTGAAGCCTTTAGCTCTTTGTGAGTTTATGTTAAAGACTACTACAAAAGAGGGTAGAGGGAAAATGATGAAATGATGCATCATGATTCTTTCTTCATGGGTTATGTATGAGATTCTGTCAACCGAGTTTCTTGGGTTCTGGATTCTTGAATAAAATCCCACACTTTTCCTCTTCATGCAAGCAAAACAGCTCACTTTTTGCGTTGGTGTCCTTCTTTAAGTATTAACTTTCTGCATTTGTAAAGACGGTGGGGTTAATGCAGTAGTGTAGTACTACTCCTTGGCTTTTTCTACCCGACTCTATACTAGCACTACTTCAATATTCAAGGTGTATCAAAATTTTCAAAAAAATTACCGAGAAAGAGGGGTTCTTTAAGCACTGTTTAGTGGGCTTTGATTCGTCGTACTGTTTGGGGAGAGCCGGGAAAACCCATGAGTATCCTTCATGAGAGTTTCACAGTACTGCTTACACAGGATTCTTTTGGATTCTCTGAGGAAACCTACATGTAGTGCCCGTGCCCAAGTATACGTTTTCAAGCTTTCACCTTTTTCCTTGTAATGGTAAGTATCAGCAACAATTTAGGTCCCTTGTAAGGCGAAGTATCCTACCAATCTACCTTCTCATATCCTCATCCAGTATATTCTCTTGACAAGGCTGGTAAAGATTAGTAGGGGAAGGTCCATTATCCAGTAGACTGGTTATTTCAAGATACTTGATCTTTCCTCTACAAAGACAATCAAGGTTGGTTACCTTACCTGTTCTTAACGTCCCTAACTTTTGGTGTTTCTCTTTCTCTTGTGCGTCTCCTTTGGCATTCTTGTCCTGAATATAGTAATGATATCAAATGTGTTACTCTCATGTCTTCCATGCCTACTTAATTCTCTGTGCTTCAGTTTTATGCATTTTTATTTTAAACTTCTTTTTTGCGTTTCAATTTGTGTAATGTATCTATATGGTACCCCACTACGCCTTTGTACTGTTATCTGTTTGCCTGTTTCTTGTTGCTGCTGTAATGTGTTAGGCTGTTGTAATTTTAACTAGTTCCATTGATGACGGACCCCTTTAGACTCTCCTCACCTCCTGTCATTGGACTGGACTGTCTTGAAAAGTTGAAATGCTGGTTAGTGGTTTAATCAAAATGGATTTGTCTCGTGTCTGAAAAAATATAAGTATAAGCTACATAGCATAATTAATTAGTTCCATAAGCGGCTTCACACTCCTTTATTAAACAGTACAAAATGTGGTTTGGCAGTTTGCTGTCTAAAACTTATACTGTAGTTTATTTTAAGCACGTGCATTTTATGTAAATAAATGCTGCTGACAAACAATCTAGATGAAATCTCTCTGTCTTAATCATTATTATGGATGAAATCTAGATTGGACGCCCAATGGGCAATGAATCTTTTTCCAACTTGGCTTACCCCTTCTATCTAGCATGCTACCTGTGCTGAATTCACATCAAGTTTCCTCTATTGGTACATCATTTAATGGCCGAATAGCTCTTGTTACTGAGGAGTAATATGTAGTACCAGGGGATGTTGCTTTGAGAAGTCAATAATGATTCTTTCTATAGATATTTTGGAGAATTCCAGGCCTCCTGTTCATGGAGAGGAAGTTACCAAATAGACAAATCCAAATCGCGATATTGATTTAGATTGTTTCTGTTTTTACTCGTAATGATAATGAAACTTCACATGTCTCTTCATAGAACTGCATTAACGTGTTGGCCATGTGAGAGACATTGTACTTGTTAAAAGAGAAGTACATAAGAACAGTCAATGGCTTTTGGTCTTGAGTTTGAATAAATTGTACCTTTGGAGATTCAGTTGATTGTCAATTTAAAATTTTATTTTTATTTACTAGCTAATCCCTGCTACTCTGAAGCTCCTCGAGCATTTTCAAAATTTTCAAGAAAAAGAAAAATTAGTTAGCAATGAAAGTAGCATTGGTACTTTATCTTGGGAGGCTTCGTTATCCGGATAACAGGTTGCTTCAAGTGCAGTAACTGTTTTTTTTTTTTTAATTAAGAATACAGTTAGTTAATAGTCTTTAAGCACAGGGCTTGGTTTTGAACTCAAGACCGACTGTTAATGTTTTCAGAGCTGTCTATCAATTTCCTTTGGGTTAATGCTTGGTTGTCAACATAACAGAAATTGATGCATTCGATATGCCAATAGACATGACTGAACCAAGTTCTGGAAATCCATTTGATGCAAACTTCCTCAGCTCTTCTGAATTAATTGTGTTGAACAACCGAGACCGGATACTTTCTGGAATTCCTGGGCCTTCAGTAGTGCAGGGTGACGGCACCAGTTCACAAGCATGGATCCATGAGCCAAATTCTGGCAGGATCTCTGATTCTTATATGTTAAGAAACACGCTGCCAGAAAGAGAACCTATGGGGGTTGTCCCATATGGAGCTTCACATCAAATCAGTAGTACTCAAGTTCAGGATAGATATATGGAGGGAATGCCCCTTTCTGCTGCATCCATTGCCACCCTTTTAGCTGCAAGGTCTGATAATCAGGAGAATCTAGAAAAACCTGTTTCTTCTGCTCCTTTAATTTATCCCTTGGAAATACCCAGAAGTATTGTCCTAAATGACAATGCTGACAATTTAAATCCATCTCACAGCTCTATGAGATATGGGTATGATGGTTTACCTGCTTCTACAAGCACTAAATGGGATTTTAACAATTTTGCTCCTCATCCAGAGCTAGCAGGGGCAGCAGTGGGAAGGACTGGATTGCAACCATTTGAGTCAATGATGAACCTCTATCCAAATGAGTGGATAACGTCAGAAAATGCCAATTTGGACTCTGATAGTCCCTCAGGCTGTTCTAGGTTGAGTAACGAGCTGTCCCTCAGCCTTGCTATGACAAACCCTTCTGTTGTACACAGGACTTCTATCCAGGATCAGTGTTCCGAAATTTGCGGCTCCAGTAGCCCTTGTGAAAGATGTTTGGGCTCTGAACAAACTTCTTGCAATAGGAATCTTTCTTTGGGCTTTGGTTCTTATAGGCCAGTTCAGCTTTCGCAGTTCTTATCTGGCTCAAGATATATCCATGTGATGCAAGAATTACTCGCTGAGATAGCTGCCTATTCTCTTGGAAGTCTTGACCTGATGAAGTCTCCTGCTATTGGAATGGAAGACAGGGCAGATGCTTCAATTTCTTCAAGTTGCACTGCTGTAGAAGGATATTTATCTGCAGCTTCTGAAGACTTTTCTGATGCATCAAACATAGTAAGATATCAAATTGATCCCGTACTTCCAGGACGAAATGCAGAAAGAAAGAAGAAGCAACTGCTGGGTTTATTAGAAGCGGTATGTGGTGCAACTTTTGCTTTCAAGATTGATATGTCACTTGCTTTATACTTAGTTTTTATGATGGATTACACTTGGCATGCGAAATGCCCTGGGAAGGATGAGAGAAAGGAAAGGAAGGGGCAATTCTTATTTTAATTTTAGGAACAGTCTGTTTCCTTTCACAACATAATGGAAATTTAGGGATTACAGAAACACCTAGAGGAAATCTGAGATGCACCATTCTTCCCCTTTTTGTGTGTAAAATGTTCATTTTCACATATATTTCCTCTAGTATAGGAGCACATTCATGTCCACGTCTTTTATTTTCTTTCTGATTTCAAAATCGGAATTTCCATTGATCCGCAGCCAAACATAATTCAATAAGAAAGTACTTTTGTTATAAGCCAACATTATTGGCTGAAGAAGTCATAAATTGTTTTGATTGAATTAGCTTCTTAACAAGAACTTATTTTGCCTGTCTTTGATTGCCTTCTATTGGATTCATGATATGTTAAGAGTATGATGGGAACTAGTTCTATGATGCTTCTGTCCTCATATTCACTTGTGCCAAACATGTTACTGCTTATGTTTCCTTTTTTATGACTTAACACCTGGTAATGTTCTATAACACTTCTATTAGGTTGATGATAGATACAACGAATGCTTAGACGAGATACATACCGTCATTTCTGCATTTCATGCTGTGACTGAGTTGGACCCTCCTATACATGCTCGTTTTGCTCTTCAAACAATCTCTTTCTTGTATAAGAACCTACGCGAGAGGATTAGCAACCACATTCTTGCAATGGGAGCACATCTCAGTCAAGGAGTAGTGAGAGAAAATGAAGAGTCTTTTGAGGCGTCTTTCATCCAGAAGCAATGGGCACTTCAGCAGCTAAAAAGGAAGGACAATCAGTTATGGAGGCCTCAAAGAGGGTTGCCAGAAAGATCTGTTTCTGTCTTGAGGGCCTGGATGTTTCAAAACTTCCTCCACCCGTGAGTTCTTGGACTTATGAATTCCTGCTTTTGCATCAATTCATCAGAATGACTGCATGATTCCTTTTTGTATCTGTGAGTTAAAAACATCCTCCTCCAACTAGCCGGTTAATTTGTCTATGGTGTACTCCTTTCTGAATTGTGCCATTGACTGTGTTTCTAGGCAATAATCAGGAATTTTCAGTTTCATGGTCGGTTTGGTTTTATGTTTTCCCCTACTGGCTTGAGGAGATAACTAAAGTGCATAGACATAGGTATGGACCCATTACCTAATAGCTTGAGTTTTTGGTCAAAGTTGGGTATAGGGCCTTCTTTAACGGACTGCTTCAGAATCACCCTAACAGGAACTGAGGATGATTCAGAAATTTAACACCTTGACTCTAAGTTCAGGTTAAAAGCACCAACATTGTCTCGGAAGGAAATGGCCCGTGTGCCTCAATGGTTCAAATAAAGCTTCTTCATATTAAGACTGCTAAATCATGTTAAAGACATGGAAGAAGGTGGTAAGAATTTTCAACGAAGAGTGTTTTGATTATTACATGCACATTTCAAAAAAGCAAAACAAAACGCCCACACACACACATATCAAATTGGACGCATGTTGTAGTTGTTCCTTCGTCTGTAACTTTTTTTTTTTTCTTTTTTTGGCATATAAAATACATCCTTAAACAATTTGTTATTTGTTGTTCAAGAGATAAATTGAAATTCAAATCTTCCTTCCCTGCTTGATAATCCTATATTTTTGTTACAAGTCTCTTCCACATTTCTGCATGCTTCAATTGTGTTCCATCACCTGTTCCACCTTCTCCGGCAAATATGCAGCACAAACAATTTGTTCTTGGAAAGATTTTTTATCTGGGGATTCATAGACAAAGATGACAAGATTCAGCATATGGGATCATCATGGTTCAATCGAAAACATGGAATCTATCATCATCATTTTCTAAATTGAAGTCTGTAGCTTAGTGTATGTATCCCCATGAATTTCAGGTATCCGAAGGATGCAGAGAAGCACTTGCTTGCAATGAAAAGTGGCTTGACCAGGAGCCAGGTATACTAAAACTTTCGGCTCTTCAGTTTTTGTTTTCGAACAAGAACTGGAATGTGGCTAACTATCTTTCATCATTTTGTGGCTTCTTAATCAATACCTGAGTTTGTAAGTTGTCCTAACCAGGTATCCAATTGGTTTATAAATGCTCGAGTACGACTTTGGAAGCCAATGATAGAGGAAATGTATTCTGAGATGAATAGAAGAAAAATTCGTCACAATGACGAAGAAACGAATAGCAACCAAAGAAGTCGAGTGAGCCTCGAGAATGGAAGATTTTCGATGTATTGAAGTGGTAAAGGTACTTGATTTTTGGCTACTGCAGCAAAGATCCGTGCTGATAAGTCACTGGACACTGGAACTGTAAATTTTCATGGCATCCTACAAGGCAACTTAGTTATCATTGCAAATGCTCTCTCCCCCTCACTAGTGATGATGCAGGGAACGCAGATTAGATGGTGGGATGTGGTTATTGCAATGTATGAACGTACATTTTGCCTCTACGTGACTAATAAATTTCAGGGTTTAGATAACCCTGAATATGAATTTCAAACCAAGCAACGATAAGGATATTGAAACTGAATTATCTAGTCTTGTGAATTGATCCCCTCTCCACTTCTCGAGTCTCATCTCTCCCTGCTGGTAATTAAAAAAAAAGTCTTGTGAATTGTAGTAGAGAATAAAATGGATCCTACTAATAGTAGCTTAGATATGAACCTACCGTCTATATTTTGTTAAACCATTTTAAATACTAGCTTACACATAATCCAATGACTTATGTTTATATGACAAGGTTATCATGATTACATATTCTATCTTGAAAATTATGGAGATTTTAATCTTAGAGACTTGAAATGCGTAGACATTGCTATTTCTATGCTTATTTGTAATTGAAAAATCTCAATTGCTAAATTAAATTTTAAATTAAAAATTAATATTTTTAAACACTTGTAAAATGTTTGAAAATATTACTATCTTAATGCAAATATTTTTCCTCCTTTTGTTTTATTTGTCAACATGTGTTACTTGGAACTATAAATAGAATCAAATAAACTTAAAGAAGAGGGCATTTTATTTTTTAAATAAGTAATTAACCATAAAATTAGTTTTATTTTTAAAAAAATAAATACAATTAAATTTATTCTAAATAGTATTTATTTTTTAAAAAATATAATTAAATCATTTTTAAATTCAAATTTGAGTTTGAGCTCGTGCCAAAATTTGGCTCAACTAGTTTAACAAGTCTAGCTCGAATTCAAAAAATACTCGAATTCGAGTTTGACTTCGAATAACGTTCATAATAGCTCATCGATCGAATTCGAGCCGTAAGTCTGAACAGTGAACACTAAGGGCAACTCCAACGGAGTTGCATATATCGTGTAATGGGGTAGGCCACCCATTATTGAAAAATTAAAGGAAGAGTAATTGGTGGGCCGCCCATTAATTAAAAAATTAATTGTGGATCATGCTATTACATCTTGTGGAATGTAATTCATTGTGAGTGAAAGTATAATAAAAGAGGAGAAAATAGAATGTTGCCGTGGCATGGGGCTCTAAAGAGTGTAAATCATTGTGGACGTCCTGAGGATGCAACTCGTTAAAAGCTCAACTTCCGAAGCAAAATATTCTATGGTACGTACGTACGTACCGGTGATTGGAAAAGATCATACACCGCAGTACGCCAAAAGATGAGAAATGCTGCGAGCCCACCTTCCCTTCTTCTGTAATCACTTTGATGTAAACATGCTAATGTGCCATTTGAAATCAAGAAGCATGCGAAGGCTACTGCATCCACTTATATTTACTTCCACGTCTCATGGCGCAATAAAATCCAACAGATGCAAGTTTATTCAAATGACTTGTGAAAATATTTGTTGAGATAAAAATGAGTTTAATTCACTATACAGAAACCATTATAAGGAGGAGCCGACACATTGAAGAAATATCTTCCAAAACTTCAGTTTTCAACTTTGCCTTTATGGATGGGCTCAAAAAAAAAAATTAATTATTCCCTTGCCCTTTTCCCAAAAATTAACTATTCCTTTCCCTTTCCCTTTCTGCAAATTGTATGTGATTGTGATGCTGGGACAAGCAAAAGACATCAACACCACACCTAAACTCGTTCTCTACTCACTCATAGTCATGGACAATGAACCTCCTACCTATTGGACAAGGAAAAGCAACTGAACTGAAAACAAGATGACATCTCACCCCTACCGACACTTTCTTGAATCTTATTTGCTCATTTACTAATTCCCTGTACATTCTGACTTCAAGGATTTGCATATCTAACCACTTGGTAGTAATATTTAGGGAAATTTGTCAAATTGGTCCCTAACATTTACCAAAAATACTTTTTTAGTCCTTTACATATAAAATCAGCCAAAATGGTCCTTCACATTTAAATTGTGAGCCAATGTGATCCTATTGCTCGTTTTTGCTCATTTCTCCGGCTAAAAATAGCACGCCTCTCTCACGTGGTCATATTTTTTGGAGCAAAACCGGAAACACATTTCATTACCTGTTAAAAGTAAAAGGTGTGGACAACCACCAAAATACACATTTCACCTTTGGCCCTCAAAGTTTCAAGAAACCTGAATTGCATCCCCGAATGGTGGCGAAAATTATTTTGTAATTCTCCTGTATAAGTGATGTGCTTGATGAATCCATAGATCTGGTTCTTGTTTACTTATATCCGAAAGTCCTAACCTTTCCATTCTAAGTGAGAGACTAACAAGTCCAGGACATTTGTGCAACATCGATCCCACGAATCCAATTTGGGCCTTAGCTGGAACCCTAAGCCTCAGCTCCTCCGCCGCCCGCCAAAGCCGCTTACTCGTGTCCCTCCATCCTTTGCAAACCCTGGCCGCCGACAACAGTGTTGGAGGCGGGAGCCTCCTCAACACCTCCCACAGACAACTCATCGGCAGCTTCCCGGACCCGGCAAGATCCGATTCAGGGCTCCAGCTCAAGAAGCTCCTCCTCGTCCTCCTGGTGCTCTTCTTCATCCTCTCCATCGTCTTGCGAGTCCCTCGCATCAATATCATGGTCGAAGGAGAGAGCTTGCCGGAGGTTGGAGAAATGCTGGCGATGAGGAGGGGGAGGGGGAGGATGGACAGTGGAGAGAGGAGAAGGGATAGCGAGGGAGGAGGCGGCTGAGTCAGTTGAGGGCGTGGCGGTGGGATGCAATTTAGGGTTTCTTGAAACTTTGAGGGCCAAAGGTAAAATGTGTATTTTGGTGGTTGTCCACACCTTTTACTTTTAACAGTAATGAAATGTGTTTCCGGTTTTGCCCCTAAAAATATGACCACGTGAGAGAGGCGTGCTATTTTTAGCCGGAGAAATGAGCAAAAACAAGCAATAGGACCACATTGGCTCACAATTTAAATGTGAAGGACCATTTTGGCTGATTTTATATGTAAAGGACTAAAAAAGTGTTTTTGGTAAATGTTAGGGACCAATTTGGCAAATTTCCCTAATATTTATATGGGGCCAGTACTATTTGGGAGTTTGTATACCAGAACTCTTTCAACTCCTCTCACCAGACCAGATTGAATATGTTAATATGTTGTTCCTATCTATAATTGGTCACTGCTACCAAAGATCAGTTGCAATCATATTGTCTTTGTCACTTCCATCATCCTCATTTTCCAAAGAAACTCAAATTCCCCCTTGGCCTATTAGTTACACTCAGGAAGCAAGCTGATTGCGCTAGCTGCTGATATAATGGTAAGGTCCCCAGTCATGGTGTAAGTAAATGCCTGAATGGAAATCATAAAGCTGATTGTAATCTCAATTTCAGATGCCTCTGTAACAGATCTCTTGCATAGCAGAAGGTAAAAGCATGCTGCATTGGAAGAGAAACAAGGAAAATACATGCCAAAAAGAGAAGCACAAGAGATGCAGACTGTTTAAATTGAAGGAGAACTTCTCCCGCCTTTTATTATCTTCATTTCGCTGTCTTGACAAATAATTATTCAGGGATTTACAGATACTGTAGATACATCTGCACTAATACTTGTGATTTTACAGGTTTTGAGGAAAAATAATAAAAGAAAAAACTCCCCTTCAATCTCTTCTATCCTAATTTTGCTTTGCTTTCTATCTTTTAATTTTATCTACAGGCCTATTGTAGTTTCCTCTTCTCCTGGTATAGTTCCTTTCAATGAAGTAGTGGCATGATAAACCTCCTTAACTACAAAAATACAAAGAAACAAAAATGCCTCGCGTGTTCATTCTTCTCATACTTCTACAGAAATCTTTGTCTTTATTGGTTTTAACTTCAATCCCATACTTTCTGGTGAGAAGAGCTCTGGGGAGATGCTAGTCGGACTCAAAGGGCTTCTTGGGCTAACGTTGAATGGAGATTGTCTATAAAAGCCATACCCCATAAGGAAGTACTCCAATGGTATCAGCATGGCATCTGGCTGCTCCTCAGTGACTATTGACCCACATGCTTGAACCTGTACAGTAATCCAACCTTAGTTAAACAGCGTCTCAATCACTGCGTCTTTACCAGGAATGCAGCCAAAGCAGAGTTTAATGAGAGAGCGCATAAATACCTCGACTAAGGCACTGAATCTTCTATCAAGTTTTGAAGTCATATGAAGTGCCTCAGAATGGCAAGGAGAGTTTTCGCCAACAAATATTAAGGATCGGCATCTTAACTTTCTCAAACCATCAGTAATATCTGGTCTCCTGCAAGACACAATTAATTAAAACAAGGGTACAGATTCACCACGTCAGAAAACACCCCAAAGATAAAACTCAAGGGAAAAAAAAAAAACCCATACAGTATACCTATCTATCTGTGTATATAGATAGATAAGCTAGGCAAGGTGCTTGGGTATGCAGAGGATTTGATTCCTGTCCATTCCTATGAAGAAGCAGGAACAAATCTCCAGGCTAACATACTAGCGGTAAAGACATACTCTAAAAGAACTTAAGAGCAAAAGTATTTACTCGTTCATAGCCTCAAGAAACCGCAAAACATTTGGACTCTGTCTCTCTCCCAGAAACTGCAATAAGAACCAGCACACAATAAAAGTCAGACAAATGATAAACTCAAGACAAATAACCATCACTTTAGAGGTTCCTGTAGTAGACAAGCATACTGAAAATGAAATGCACAAGAGCAGAATTTGGGTGACTGACTCTTCTACATGATTGAACTACATCTGATTCAGGTACTTCAGCACTGCCACGGACACCCTGCGCATGATTTTCAAGTCCAGTCAAACCAATCAATTTATGATGGTTTATTATGAAAAAGTAATGAAGCTTTACCTTGCTAAAGTACCGTATGAGTAATAATTCCTTCACCACACTACACATGCCACAAAAGTAAAGCAAATTTGACATCACCTGTCAGTGGTGAGCAATTTCTTGTGTTATCAATCCATACAGAATGAACAATTATAGATGAAGACAAGAGCACTAAACAATTTTATCAATGAACCTTGTTACACAACCATTCTGTCCAAGATGGACCTTTGCATATAGGAGAAACGAGTATCAAACCCAGAACTCTTTTAGTGTATTTCATCTGCAGCACAGT